TGCATGCGGTGTGTGCGATTTCAGTGCATATAGACCACGGCAGACAATTTCATTGCTACGTCGTTAAATTGCAGTAACTAGTCGCAGAAATACGTTTTTGCTTTCCTTTATTTGGCGTATACGCTTGAAATACTATCGAGGTTTACAGCTATCATTCAGAATGGGCGAAAATATTGTGCTGATTTTTTAAAATGTGTATTATATGCAAGAAATGTGATTGATTGATTGAAACTTCAATTTGATTAATATAACTTTTAACCTTGAGCTTATATTTCCAATGAAAATGTATGCAAACACTTTTTCCGAAACGGATGAATATCTCTTATTTGTACAGAATTTTTCTTATCTTCAACTCGAAGAAATAAAGTACCGTATAAATTAAGTAAATCTAAAGATATGCCTTATTGTCAAGTTACTCGCTGCAACTTCGAAAGCTCTCGGCTATATCTTGTTTTTATCTTGCGGCTTGTTTGAGAGAGAGAAAACGAGCTTTTAGCCAGGTGTTCGCGCGCGTATGACTTCTTGCCAACCTTATTAAAGTTTCCTCTCTTAGTTGTGTATAAGCCGCAAGGCTTGCTGCCGCTGTGTTCATCTTATGGCAGTTGCCGCTACGCGATATTTGCTGTGTTCTTGCTGCGAGCTTGCGCCCGTGTGTATATATATGTATGTGTGTGTGTGTGTTTTCCCGCGTACTGCTGTAAGCTCGAGAAACTTATGCACCGATTTCGGTCTATATAATCAACATCAATGCTCTCTCGGAGCTAGTTCGAGTCTGCGCTCGAGGAAAGTTGTAACCGCGTTAAGCATGTATATCCGTTTAGCCGGCTTTGCTTCGATTCGAATTTCGCCTTTTCAGGATCGATAATCAAAAGAAAACTCGAGCTGGTAACGTCGAGTTGAATTAAGACTCGAGTAAAGGCTCGGACTATTAATTGATCTTTGCTGCGTCGATCGTATGCACAAAGATCCTCCTATTCAAGGCTCGAAGAACGAGAGAATTTCATCGAAGGTATTCGGTCTCTTTTGAATTTAATCGAGAAACTGCAAGTTGTAGCAGCAGCGTGCTCGAAAGTCTGGAAAATTTAAAAAGAAAATTTACGGCTACTCCTTTTTTGCACGTCTTGATGTTCTTTTTTTAACGTTACGCCAAAGTAATCGCTGAATTTTTTCTTGATATTCTATAAATATACGGGCTATGTATGTGCATGCATCGCAAGCTCCACACAATGCCGAGCACTCGGTTGCTGCTGCAGCGCGCAAGAGGCAAGCGTACAAGTGTAAAGCTATCTTGAACATAAAAGGTTTTACCCTTTCACGGCTTTTTTCCATTATATACGAAGCAGGCTGAAAAAAAGAAGAAAAATAATAGTTTGCGCAAGCTTCTCATATGCACTAGGCGCGCGCTCGAGGCTAAAATTATAAATGAATTCAATGGCGTAGTTCGATGAGGGGAGTACTGCAGGTACACGATCGAACGAGCTTTTAAGAAATAATCTGGCTTTTCCTATATAGCCTCGGTGCTTCGATGGAGCGCACGGTTGTTGTGTTCTCGTGCACACCTGCACTTTGGAGGGGAAAAGTATTGGGTTATCACGCCGAGCGTTATAATGCAGCTAGGACGATTTTATGTTGCTCCCACCGAGAGAGTGTATACTTTTAGCATGCGCGAATTCGAAACTCTTAAGAAAGTGTGAACTGCGACGATCCAAGTATAGGGTGCAAGCTCACACACAAGACAAACGGGGGCTCGTTGCAAAAAGAGCCAGCGATACGCTTTTAATATTTCAGTCAGGAAGGCAGGCGCTGCCGCTGCCGCTGGAGGAGGCACACAGGAGTGGAGGCCAGTACTTTTGCCAAGAAAAATCCGGGACAATTGAGGGGGTCTTGTGCAGAGCAGCAGTTGGTAAAAGAGTTCCTATACTTACTCGTTTTTCATCACACGAAAGAGCCTATAGTAGGCGTGTACGTGAGCTTGTGCGGGCGCGATTGTGTGAGTATTTGCAGAAAGAGAACAAGAGGGAAGAGAGAGAGAAGCCAAAATGAGGAAAGAATGGAACGAGAAAGAGAGTTGAAAAGCAGAGATAGAAGATAGAGAGCGAACTTTCCAATTGGGAGGAGAAAGGAGTACTGGGTTTGGCAAGACGTTTCGCCTCTTTCCAAGCTACTTAAAGACGAGCCACTCATTCTATGTGTATCCCGTACGAGCAAAAGAGAGGGAAAGAAAGAGGAAAAGCGTGAGAGAGCTGCAGTGGAAAACGAGGAACTAAGATTACGCCAGGAAATGCGCACCCGCAGCACACTGCTGCTGCTTATATTCTCTCCATATTTTCTTTGCATCCGTATACCTTTCGGTATTTCTATCTATGCACATCTTTGTTCTTTGTCGAAAGCTTTACCTTTGATCTTTTAGTCCCGATATGCACCATTTTTATTATCTTGCCATTCGATCTGCTGTATACGCGTGAGAATACGCTTGATTTTTCGAGCTAATGCAGAAAAGCTCGAGTCAACGAAAAAGAAGCCGTTAGCAATCGTATAATTCGATGCCTTGCGTCGTTTAAGTTATTTGAAACTGATTCTCAAACTACTTTGTTTCGCCGTCTCTGCCAGTGGGTATAAGCGTCTATTTTCAAGTGATAGCTTATCCCGCGATCGTCGAGATGCGACCGAGTGCATCAATTTCATTTCAAATCAGGAACTGCGATCTATGCGCTACACGAAAAGTTTCCCAAAAGGGAGATTGACATTCTCATCGTATGCTATACTACCTGCAATAAAAACGATGTGCGAGACGAGCATCTAATACCGTGAAACTTTTGCCAATCTACTGCCTTCTCCTCCCGCAAACACAAACAAAATCGAGCGTGCGTGAATCGGAAAATGAACGTTTGCAGAGCCTTCGCGCGCGCGAGCGAGCTTTTATATGCACTTTTGTCGATTGAAAAAACAAATTTCCGAAGAAGCTTTCACGCTGCTACTGCTACTGCTGCTGCTGCTGCAGCGTATAGAAAACTAGAAAACTGCATGCGTAAATTCACACAGCGTCGTCGGTCCGGTACCCCAGCGTCGCGTACACGTTTAGTAATATCTTGCCTTGCGGTGCTCATATATATTCCGCAGTCTGCATTCTTGGCATTTGAAAAAAAATCTCTACATTATTCAGAGGCGCATCGCCGCACGCGTGCGACGCTCGAAAGAACCCGAGGCTAATTTTGGGTAGAGCCACAGTGCATTCGCGCGATATTGAAAAAAAAAGGTGAAAAAAAAATGAAAGAGGAAAAAATTGCTACGAGCGTGAAGAAGAAACTTACGTCAATAGTGTCGAGACAAATTGATAATGATGCATATGATTGTAAGCAATTTTCGCTTTGTTTCCGTACTGAGCAATTGAGATGATGTTTACGTTGAAATGATTAATACTCTGATTTATAGCATTGAATAGATATCAAAATATTACTTTCGAAAGGAACAACGAACTATTGTAATCTTAAAAACGACAAAAAAAATTTCGTCGCGAACAAAACATGTACATTGTACAACAGAGTGGAATCTCTATTCGTGGTACAAACTATTGGCGAAAAAAAAGGATTTTCGACGCGTTCACTCGCTCGTTCGCAACAGTTTCTTTTACATATAAGAACATGAATATATTCGCACGCGAAAATTCAAGGATTTTGCCCCCCAAACTTATACGGATACAAGTTCCGAGCATTTTGAACTTTAAGACTTTCCCTACTATTGGCCTGCCATGAATTTTGGAAAACGTACAAGTTATGCATGCGCATGTGAATAGCGCGTATGCATGTGTGTGCTATGCGTTTTCTCTCCGTTGCCGAAGAAAAGCGAACGCCTTGCGAAGTTTCCTTGGGCTGCAATGCTGCGCGCACACACACACATAAATACACACACACTCACATACATAGGCACATACGTGCGCACACTTACAAGCGCAGAGTAAACGAATTTAACTGCAATGCATCTATTGGAGAAATACTTGCGCGAACAATTACGTTATAATTAGAGCCTCGAGGGGATTAACTTCTAATGAAAAGGAAGTAGGAAGAAGTCTGGATCTTTTCAGAGCACGCGAGTACGCCTCATTAAGCCTTTTCAGTCTAAATCAAGTTAGTCGAAAAATTTGTAGCTCGATTCAAAACTCATTGGTGGTGGCAGCGCGTGACACACTGTCTAACTCGAGCTTATATATATTTTTAATTCTCATTTTCAGACGATTACGAGATGAAGTAGAGAAAAGAATTTTTTATTCACAAAAAAATATGAATAGAGAAACAGCGTTTTTTAAGGTATTTTCTTAACGGTGATTGCTACTTTTCAAAAAAAAAAAAAAAAAGAATACCACTCAAAAAGAAAGTCATTCTTCGGCGTTTTTCACTGCGAGTGATTTGACATAGTCGATGCTTTGCTTTGTCACTGGTTCTTTTTGGGCTTGCGATTTTTGGCTCAGTGAGCCTTGCCTAGCTGAATTCTGTCAACGTAAGCACTGCACCGCACTTTTTTCTCCGAATAAAGTTTCTTATGAACACTTGTTCCTATCGCGTTAATGTTTAGCAAGTACTATCTGGTTTACAGATATTTAAACAAAAATATTCTATAATACCCCGTTCGACTCCCTTTGGAAAATAAGAAAAGAAATGAAAAAAAGGATATGCGAGATCATTTCGTAATTATAACAGCGATAAAAAGTCGATTCGAAACATAAATATCGAAACACGAGCTCGTTTTTTCGTTACGGCGCGCATCGATCCAATAACTTTTTAGCTAATTTTGACAATTTTACCGAACGAGTAATTATTTGGAGTAATTCACAGTAGCTTTTGGTTCCTTCCTTTGTCTTAGGTGCAAATTGATTGTTTAGTATTTGCTGCGCGATTCACGGTCAATAAAATCCAATTTTCGCTGACTCTTTAACGCGCGCCGCGTTCAAAAGTACTCATAAGTAAATTCATATAAAATAATAGGTGAATATATAAAGAACTTACTGGTGCTATTTTTCGTATTAATTTTCTTCTTGTTATCGCTTCTTAATATTTTAGACATAATAGAGTACTTATTTTCAAAATATGTTTGCCAGACAGGACCAGGATTAACATCAACGTTCAATTTTTTTCTAAGTTTCTTAACTTGAGTTTGTATAGTACTTAATACAACAGTTTTGTTTTGGGCGTGTTTAGCTTCCATCCACTCCACTAAACTTGCTTCGAAACCATCCATATTTTCTTCTAAATGCACCTTTTAAAATTGTAACAACTACTTTTCGATGTTTCTTTTAAAATTGTAAAAAATTACACGACACTAAATATACATAGGTAAAGTTCAGAATTTTTTAACTAGTCATGTGACGGAGGTTGTTAGATTTGAACACGCTTTAGGCATATGGAGTACATAAAAATGAATATAAAAAAAATTGTTGTTCAATTCGAAGTTTTTTTACGACCTCTTTTTGTTAAAAATAAGGTTTTTTGGCTCTAAAACTCGACAAAATTTGTTCTGAAAATATCTGAAACAATTTTTATGCCATCAATAAGTGGAAAAATGTTCAGGCTTTGTTTCAAATTGCACCACCGTAAATAAATATTTATAATTTTGAATGTTTTTTTCTGGAGCGCTGAAGCATTCAGAAAATTTGAAAAAATTCGAGGTTGTTTGACTTGCAGAAATGTACCTTCAGGAATTTTTTTGGACTTTCAAGTCCAAAATAACTTCAGACTCGGTAAAAATAGAAAAAAAAGTTCATATGGAGCGTGGCACGTACGAGAAGTACGAGGATCTGCAATCTCGGTTTTGGGACCCTTTTTAATGTATTATAATACCAAAAGTGTGTCCAAATCCGTAGACCCCGAGCGCGCGATTATTTAAAAGGTTCTGAGCCTTACCTATAGAAAATTAAAATGATAGGTAAATTTGTAAAAAGCTTATTTGTAAAATTGTTCTTAACGTTCTCACTGCTAACACTGCTTTCTCTGTTTACTACTTTAGACGCAATTCTATGCTTGTTTTAAAAATATTAGACACACTTCTGCTCGAAATTTAAAATTCTGCAGCTATTGCTGTAAGAGTTTTTTGTCCTTTTTCTATTTTGTTAATTATTTTTTTGTTCATAAATATAGTTACAGGCGACTAATTAAAGAATCCACACTTGACTTGTATAAAATCACTTGAGAACTAGTTATAGTATACGATCATGAGTATAAGTAAATAATATGTAAATATAAGTAAATAGTGACGATATTCAATTTATATTGCGCAGATTTTGACTGCTTTCTACTACAGAAATTTTTCCAAGGGACATTGTATTGACAAATATAAGGCGTTCTTATAAACAAGGTTCTACGGCGATGCTAATTATTATTAGCGAAATGATTCGTATTCAAATAGATGCGTTATCCTTTTTGTATACAAAACCATGGATGAATCTAGACCAGAAGAATGAAAATCCTTGCAAACATATGTTTTTTTTGCATATAAGTACTGAATGAAAGTGAAGGCAAGTTTGAGCCTTATGAGTCAAGTGATCAAGTGAACAATTTAAAATTATTATGTACAGTGCATATTTTTATTGCTTTTTACCACGCGCAATCGTATTTTGGAATATGTTTTCATTTCTTAACAAATCGTATAGACACCATTCGAGATTCGGAGGAAGAAAATTCCAATTAAAAATTTGTTTATTAAAGAACAACGAAAAATTCTGAAAATTATCGAAGTTTGAGAGCGATGAAGGTCATATTAACGCGTGAGGTTTTTAACCTTTTTTCACAGCCTCGTCACAATTTTATATCTTAATCTGTTACAATTTATTGCCCATTGTCGACTCCATCGGATTATATCGAGACAGAAAAAAAGGAAAGACTGCATCGTTGGAACGTGATCTATATAAAACTCGAACGAAAATGTACGAAGAGCAGTAAAAAAAAAGGAGAGAAAACGAGTACAGAAGTAAAGCTCGGGTTGGTATAAATCCTCGTCAGCAGCAACGACAGCACAAGAGCTAGAAATTTTTGTTATAAAAGAAGCTCACACAGGCTAACGCCGTGGCAGTCTCTTTTAAAATTTTTTTGTATACCTCTTATTCTGATACCGAGAAAGAGAGAGAGAGAGAGAGAGAGAGAGAGAGATAAAAGACTCCGTTCTTTTGCCAATGATAGTTCTGTACTTCTCGCTTGATATCAGAATTGAGAAAAAACGAAATTTCGCGCCAATATGGAAGAATATGTTCTCGCGAGGGATCGGCGACGAATATTTGGCGCATGGGGCACTCCAGGGGACACGTAGGTACAGCTTTACTATTGGCTTGTGCGCCAATGTCGCGCAGTGCACCGACGATATTCTCCCGACATATTCAGCGCGTATCTTTATCCTTGTACGTGTGCTCGTACCCCGTGTGCGCAGCGAGACCTGCCAGCTTCTCTTCCTTTTTTTCTCTCTGCGCTACCGTCTACTCTGCATTCGCTTTTTTCCATCCCCGCGAGTTATGCATTATAGTTGCGCAAGTGTACGTACGACGCTCTACGGTGTCTTATTTTATTTAGCACTCAGCGTCTCATCTATCTTTGTTGCTCGGTACTTCTCTTGCTATTGCAGCAGTTTCTTACTTGTAAATAAATTTTCTCGACATCGTGTATTCCGTCCTCGGGGTGCTTGCTACGTATTTATTACATGAGTTCTTTTTCATTCTGCATCGATTCATCAAGAGCATGTCATTCTTAGCTTTCTTAAATTATTGAACAATCATCACGGCTTACCTATAAAGGTCGAAGAAATTTTTTTTACACGTCCAAAATAACCCATAATATTTACGTCTCGCGCTCACTATTTATGTATATTACAGATATATAAAAAAAAGTTATTTTGAATTTTGAGTAGACAGTTTCATAAATTTATTATTTCATTTTTAATGTCCGAATGACATTTTCTAAAGTGAATATGAAAAATTCATATTCTGTTCATCATTTCTTTAATGTATATGGGTCAAATTTTTTTTTTTGTGTGGAAACTTATTCGTTTATAATTTGTGAGTTATCTCCTTCTCTCGAGTGACTCGAGCTCAAGGACTTACACTTAACTAATCTCACTATTTTACATTAATTATTTATTTTAATGCTTACGCCCAACTTGAGAGCTAAAAACGCAAGCTATGAAAAAAATTTATTTTTTCGGTCGAAATGGCACGCGAAAAGCAGCATCGTGCGTGTATATTATCTTTAAAAAAATTTGAAATATTACGCTCGTTGCGTTGGCCATTTGAGTTATTATGCTTTAACATTACGCCGGGACTACATCCAACTTTGTGCCATAAATAATGCAATCGCATTCATGAGCGCAGTTGACGAGCACATTTTTTTCCAGCATCAGTTGGTTTCGAGTATTAGCGTCTGAATTAAAAAAAATGGCTTGTGTACGAGTAAATTCAAAATCTCTACTCCTCGGGGAAATTTTCAAAAGATACGGTTCGCGCTTCGTAGTGAAATAGCGTTAAATTAATGTTACTGAAAGCTCGTCAGACGCAGACAATTTTTGGTAGTTTGTGTGAAAAAAAAATTATTTACAGAAATGAACTATGTACAGTAAAAAATAACTAAATAAATTGTGAAGATCCCTTAAAAAAATGCAAACATTTTATAAATACAATTCAAGGTGCACAATAAAGATAGAAATGCAATACTCCAATAATCCATTTGTTAATAGATTCAAAAATATTATTGTTTTTATTATGTGTGAATTTCAAAGATTATACCTTGGAGTAAAATTTTAATTTTATCTTTGCAGTGACAATAGTGAGCAATTACAATACTGATAATAATTAACGAAAAATTAAAAAATTAGTATTGTGTCGAAGCAAAATATCGATTAATGGCCTTTAGAGATTGAGAATTTTATCGACTACTCCATTCTGCTTTATTTAAAATTGTGAAAATACTTTCAAGTTCATTCGAATATTATCTCGTACTTCATTATAAAGTGTGGAAAGTAATTTTCATCATTGCTCGAACCAAAACTGCACCGGTATTCCTGACAACAGTTAAAACGTACTCGTACACGAATAATGACACTTGGTTCGCAATTATTAACCAATTCGAGTCATCACTTTAATAATTAATTAGCAATTATGAAACGTATACAGTCTCGCATTTTATTAAACGAGCCGCGCGCTCGTATACAGAGACGCGGCAACTCGCTCGGTGTAATTTCTTAATTAATTACACCTCACGAACGAATAATTTCTAATTTTTAAAACAGCCACGACGAGCGTCTCTGTGCACTCGTATACGTCGTCGTTACGCAATGCCAAGTAACCGTGCAGCAGTACGTCATTTTGTACATTACGTAATGTAATTAAAAGTATACAGGATATTTAAAGTAGTAGCCCGGCGAACAATGCGGCGCGGTGCAGAGCAGGAGCCGCCATTCTTTGTCGAGCTTAGATATGTTCCCCGCTGCAAGCGCGCGTACGACATGTAATGGAAAAGACCTCTTTTGCGAGACGAGATTTTAACCCGTGAATGCATTATTATTGGCGTACCTACAGTGGCCCTGTACACACGCGCGCATTGGGTGCATATAGTGTACTTGTCTCGCAGTTCTCAAGGGCTGCAGCAAGGTAGTAGCAGTAATAGTAGTAAATAAAACGACTCTGCAAAAGATATGTACAGAGAGAAAGAGAATCGTGCTGCGGAAGGAGCATAATCATAAGTGGAGGGGTTGGATTCGTCTCGCGCAACGATGCTGCCGCTGCCACTGCCGCTGTGCCGTGCTGTTGGTGCAGCAGTAGTGGGGTTGCAAGAGGTTGAGGTCGCATTGATTTTGTCTAGACAGGGTGGAGACTACTAGACGCGGAGGCGAGCGCGCACCTCACGCCGGCCGCTACTGCACTTTATATATTCTCTGGTGCTGCTGCCGCTGCACCGCACGCGATTTCTTTCGCCTCGGTATCATTGTTTATAAATCAATTTTCAAATGTCATTCGACGTATCTTAATTCCATTTCAATCCGGCCGTGGATCGTCGTATAGATATTGGCCGATCGATACTTTTTTTCCTCTCGCGCGCGGGTGCCGGCTGATCGCGACTCGACTTTTCGAGGCATACATGGCTGCGCGTCGCCCGGCAAGTATCACAAGGGCCTTCAGCGAGTGAAGTTTGCTTCGTAAAGTAACAAGGACAAAATGACTGCGACGCCGAGGAGTGCGCGTTGTTTGGTTCAGTGCTGGGATCACATCCACTTGTATACAAAAAAATACCTCGCGTCTCGAGGATGTAGCGTGACTCATCATCTCGTAGGATAGTCGCATTCGCGTGCCGCGCGCGTATGTGTTAGTGCTGCAGAGACAGGCATATAAGGGCGTAGTCGTTCGTATTGCAAGTGTACGCGTGGCATACGAGGGACACTGCTATATTTATATACTACAGCGCTGCAGGAGCCAAAAGAAGACGAAGAAGAAGAGAGAAAAAAACCTGAAACCCAGCGAATAATAAAAGGGAGTGAGCGCGCCCGCGAGGGCTGCCGCTGTCGCTGCTGCACGGGGCGCTCGTACAATGGTACGTGTAGTAACACCGCCGCCGACATGCCGGCTCGTAACGAGGGGTTGCGTCAGTCGCCGGCTATAAGGACGCCGAGGATGAGATTACTACGCTGCCGCCGTTCCGTGAGTGTTTATACGTGTACACACGCTCGTGCGAATTAAGGCGTACGTAGAGAGAAAGAGAGTTAGTTTGTTGCAGAAGGAACATTTATCCAAGTGCACATGTGTGTATGCGTGTGTTTGAGTGTGCTTCGATGAACTTTGACGTAATTGTTACTGTTTTTTTCGTTTACTTTTCAATTCGCCATTTATCGAGTGGCATGCTCTTGTGGAATAGTTTGGTACGTATTGTGAATTTTTCTCCCGTCAGAGTGAATATTTGAGAAATATCCGCTTTTATCGAAGATTTTGTTGACATTTTTTACCGTAAAAATAAGCAAATCGCGTTTTTGTGTTTACTTATCGTTTTAAATTTTACAACAAAGAACATTTACCGTAGCAAAATTAATCAGACTTCGGTTAGGGCAAGGATATTGATTTTTCGGTAGGGCAACTGCGTTCCCTACAAAAAGGCAGGACTCTTGTGTAGGTACATGACTCACCGCCTGTATTCGTACCGCGCGTATAAACTTGAACTATATTATATACTTCAAGCAGCATCGCTCCCACGACTCAGAAAAATCGCTCGCGTCGCAGAAAAATGTCCGCGCGTTCAAAACTACGTTTGAGCAATTTATTATTAATTTTTTTATTTTTTAACTGCGAAGTAATAAACCTTAACATTAATTTCCAAAGCGTCGTTTCGGCCGACTGTAAAAGAGCCCCGAAATGACAAAATGCCGATAAAATGCGCCATTAATTGCGCGAGAATGCGCTCGATCGCTTTTAAACTCACTTTATAGTCAAGCCTCGCGTTGCGCTGGGTTTAAGCGACAAACTTGCCTGCAAATAAACGCGCGCGCACACGTATTATATATCTATTGTGCGCGCCTCTTCTTTCTAAACTATTTCAATCGGCGTCCTCGATAAATCAGTCGCGGATCGATGACGCTCTCGCTCGAGAGTCGATTCACAATTATTGAAAACTCCATTGACTTTTGTAAAATCCTTCGGTTTTTTTCCGCGTCTATAAATTCATAATCCCCCCGTATATAGTCTCTCTCCTGCGAATTGATTCGGGAAGGCACTTGCTCGGCTGGGAATCGCTTATTTGCATAATAGCTTTTCGTTGATCGAGTCATAGAATCGTGTGGCATTAATTGTGCTCCGCCCGGCGGCGACGTTACTAGTAGTAGTCATTGACAGATCAAAGTAGCCCTTAACGCGCCCGTAGCCTAGCTATATATGTATAAACACGATTGGCTCGTCGAGTACACAGATCGAAAGGTAAATTGGAGCAATTTATATGCTCCTCTTTGGGGGCGAATTAATGGCCAAAGTGAACGCGAACTGCAGCTGCTGTTGCTGCTGCTGCTACTGCTGCGGCGACAGTAGTCGAGACACTCGACGCTCAAGCCGACCGAGGCTTGAACAGCAGAGAGTTGTGCAGAGCGTAGAATCGCACGTTCCTGAAATGAGCTCTGGCAGCATCGATAAAGAGAGAGTTTCGAGCCATCGATTCGCCTCTTCCTCTCCCCGTCGCTCTCCTTCTCTCTCTTACCCGCGTCGTTACTTATATTTTATAAGCTATTTTTTTCGTCTTATTTTTAAAACTCGAAGAAAGCCACTTTGGCTTTGGCAGCGACGACTTCTTTGGTACTCGAGTGCTTTTATAATTCAATATATACATCCAATGCTTACGCCTATGTTTTTAATAGTATATTATATACGAGATGGAAAAATGCGCCTCATTAACGTCAAGCGGTTCGCTCGCGTTATCCGAGTGTGCCTTTGATAAACATTTTACAATTTTATCGGAAAAGTACTTACATTGATGCGTTACACTTTATACGGTTGTGTTTTTAAGTACTATAAACAAAAAGAATATATTAAATGCACAAAGAGCGGTTAAAGAGCTTGCAAATAATTTGTCGATCGTTTTGTTTTTTGTTACAGCGACACCATCGACTCCAGTGATGCCGGGTGGAACGCCTGGGACGCCCTCGTCCAAGGCCAAAGTAAGTTTTTATTCTCATTTTTTTTTCACGAACACACCTGCAATTTCAAAATAATGCAGGATTCGCTGCAAAAAATATTGCGAATTTTTTTTCAAAGCCTTCGCTATGAATTATACACACAGCGAGCTTACATACAAAATATTCGCATTTCATTCATATCATATATATTTTTTTCTCTCTTTTTCAGGATAAACTGATGATTCGAAGTAAAGTGGTAGTGGCTCTATACCCTTTTCGAGCTATTGAAGGTGGCGATTTATCTCTTGAAAAGGTAAAAAGCTCGCCCCGTTTTATTGCTTCTACTACGAGTATAGAGTTTCGTTCAAACACGTTACATTTATACTCACTTCATATCGAACCGCAAATATAAAGCTCTCTCGCATGTCCTTCTTCGCATCAATATACCTTATACCATTTATATCTCGTCTCTTTGAATATTCCCTCTCTTCCTATGCCGCGACGCGCGCGATATGGATTATCAATATATCGTGCGACAATAGCGCGCCTCGAGGATTGATCGTGAAATGAAATTGTTTCAGGGTGCGGAATACGAGGTGCTGGATGATTCGCAGGAGCACTGGTGGAAAGTCAAAGACGAGCACGGGTAAGATATATAATTCATTTTCCGATTCGATCAAATCTGCATACCGACTTGAATTGCCATCTAATGTCGTACTTTTGTTTTCAGTTCCATCGGTTACATACCCAGCAATTATGTCAAAGAAAAAGAACTCTTGGGTCTCCAAAAATATGAGTGAGTACACGACAATTAGTAACGACCATCAGCTGAAAAATTTGAGATAATTTTCTAATTAACGATGACGTTTCGTTTCAGGTGGTACGTCGGTGACATGTCGAGGCAACGCGCCGAGTCGCTTCTCAAACAGGAAGACAAGGAGGGCTGCTTCGTGGTTCGCAATTCGTCGACGAAAGGCTTGTACACGCTATCGCTCTACACGAAAGTGTAAGTGTGCAATTTCCCGAATGACACGACGACAATTTTTTTTTCTGAGGCGAACTTTTATGCGTCGAACTGTGTGTGTGTGCGGTTATAATATGCTGGAAAATTTCTTTCAGGCCACATCCGCACGTGAAGCATTATCACATAAAGCAGAACCAGCGAGGCGAGTTTTATCTGTCGGAAAAGCACTGCTGCGGCTCCATCCCGGATCTCGTTAATTATCACAGACACAACAGCGGCGGACTGGCCAGTCGACTCAAAGCTAGCCCCTGCGACCGGCCCGTACCACCCACTGCTGGACTCAGTCATGGTAACATTTTTCCCCCCTCGATTCATTGCTACGATTCAAAAAAATTTTAACGCCCGGTCGAACTATTGCTGCTGCTCCTTTTTTTGTAAACGTAAAACTTGATGTGCCTTTCAAACTTCTTGAACGGCTTATTTATTTAGCTTGGCGCCTCGCTGAAAGGTTTTTTTCCTTACGTTGGAGAGAGGAAAAAAAGTCAATCGTAAAACTTCTATTTCCGACAAGTCAACTAATAAAACTTTTCACACCATAAGCTGTGATACCTGCGCGTCAGTTCAATCAATTACATTAGTGTATATACGTATACAACGCGAAAAGTTTGTGAATTTCTTAAAAGTTCGAGATCGACGCTCGCAGTTTTATCGCCGCGCAAGATTTCTCGGGCGTGCAAAAGTACCCCGCGAGTCGCCGTCGCCCTGTCCCAGATTATCGGTTTATCGTTTTAACGATAAATGCGCGCGAGAAATTCATCGTTTTAATATAATACTTTCGTGTGTCCACAGACAAATGGGAAATCGACCCGGCCGAGCTGCATCTGCTCGAGGAGCTGGGCTCTGGACAATTCGGCGTCGTGCGTCGTGGCAAATGGCGCGGATCCATCGACGTAGCCGTGAAAATGATGAAGGAGGGCACCATGTCCGAGGACGACTTCATCGAGGAGGCCAAAGTGATGACGTGAGTATAGCTCCTCTCTGCTCTCGACACGTTGACGACGTTACGTATGGTGTGCGTTGTGCGGGCGACACGACGAATCGCTTGTGCAACGAGTCACGACGAGGCACGACGCGACTAACAATGGAATGCGCATTTGAATTTCAGGAAATTGCAACACCAAAACCTAGTCCAGCTGTACGGCGTCTGTAGCAAGGACAGGCCCATCTACATTGTAACGGAATACATGCGTCACGGATCTCTGCTCAATTATCTGCGCCGTCACGAAAATACACTCGGAGCCAATGTTGGATTGCTCTTGGACATGTGCATACAGGTAAATGTCGAGGAAGTGGTGTGGCGCCGTTCTTAAGCGTGTCAAGCCGTCGCTGCCGCCGAGTCGTCGGGAAACACTCGACAATGTATCCGCGAGTTTGAATATTTTATGCAAAATCCTCGTGTCGTAATTATTGGCTTTTTTTATTTGCTTGAAAATATTTAATACGGCGCGATATCGGATTAATCTCTAGCGTTTGAATGCCGATAATTTTACCTTTTTTTGCGACCTAAATTTTAGAGAAGGCATTAAAGAGTTAATTGCTCTCAAGTAGTTATTGATTTCCGAATCGACTTATAAAATGCACCTCTTTGTTTCCGTAGTGGAATAAAAGACCTCGGAAAATGAGTGTACCTTGAAAAATATACGACTTCGAGCGAGAGAAATCTTCGGAAAACTCATTTTATCGGTGATACAGTCGAGTGACAAAATCGTCCATTGTTATTTCAGGTATGCAAGGGAATGGCTTACTTGGAAAGACATAATTACATCCACAGAGATTTAGCCGCTCGTAATTGTCTCGTGGGCTCGGAGAACGTCGTCAAAGTCGCTGATTTTGGTTTAGCAAGGTATGAACATTTTTTTAATGTTCAATTTCTATAACGATAAAAATAAAAAATAAAATTTTAATGTAATATCGTGCATTCGTTTCACTCCGAAGGTATGTATTGGACGATCAATACACGAGCAGTGGCGGCACAAAGTTTCCGATAAAGTGGGCTCCACCAGAAGTCCTAAATTACACTCGATTCAGCTCGAAATCCGACGTCTGGGCTTACGGCGTCCTTATGTGGGAAGTTTTCACATGCGGTAAGATGCCCTACGGTCGACTAAAGAATACAGAAGTCGTCGAGCGCGTTCAACGTGGAATTATCCTAGAAAGACCGAAAGCCTGCTTCAAAGAAGTTTACGAGGTACGTTTATCTTGCAGGCGCGATATACTTTTGGTAAGATAATAAGACTAGTTTTGAGACTGAACGATATGTGTTCTGTATAGGTAATGCGAAAGTGCTGGGCACACTGCCCCGAGGTTCGACCATCTTTCCGCGTGCTAAAGGAGCAGCTGGTGAACGTGTCGCAGGGTCTGCTCAATGATTGACTTAGTCTGCTGCGGTGCTTACGCATCTCTTCGCCGAGCAGCAGCACCGGCAGCGGCAGCAGAAGCAGCAGACAACAGCGAGGCCTCCATCATCAGCAGCAGCAGCTCACCCCATTGTCTCCTTTGTCGTCGTCGATCAAGGGTTCGCGCTCGCCGAACCTCTTCGAGCGCTCGTCCTACAACTCGGCCACGCTGCCGCATCGGTTGCGCAGCAACGCCTCGCTACCGAGCGCCGCCGATCTGCTTCAACTGTCCGCCACGCTGTGCCGCTCGAGCAAGAAGCTGCGTCGTTCGCGCCGCGATCAACACAATCAGCACTCGGACGACTCGGGCATCGGCAAAGGCGGTGGCTCGAAGCGCGAGAGCGGCGCGTCCAGCGCCAGTCCCACGGCTCGGCTCAATGACGTCGACGACGACGACGACGATGACGATGACGACGTTGACCAAGTGAAAGATCGGCGCCAGCTGCTCGAGACTCCGGCTTCCAGTGTCTGCGACATCTGTAGTTCCTACGGCCATCCGTGGATCGACATTTGCAAGGCCATACGCGCTACCAAGGCCTGCAAGTGATCGTCTGCCGTACTTTCGTCTTGCACCTAGCGACTGCTCGGTGCGCGTTCTCGATACGATGATGACGACATCACTACGGCGGTGACGACGGAATTTCCATTGCACCCTGCGTCGTCCGTGCTCTACGATATCTCGTCGATTAATTTTTACTTTATACATACTCGATATAAATATGCAATTTGTACTGAAAAAGGTGCGTGATAACCGTCTTTTTTCGTACTTATACGAGCAAGGGCGAGATTTTTGTCATTTTTTATTTTTCACTATTAAGAGCAATTTTGAAGAACAATAACATTCGACTTCTTTTGTACTACGATTAATACGAAGAGACGAATTAATATAATGTTACGACGTGAATGAGCTATGTGTGACATATATGCACAAAGTGTCGATCAGTTTTCGCAATCTCTTTAAAGATTTAAGAATTTGACAAATGCAATTTTTCACATTAATTCGAAAACTTTTTACAAAAAAAAATTGTGAATAAATGCGAGAAAGTAAAAATAAAATAATACAACTCCAATTTCATTAACACGCATGGGTAACTAGGATTCTTTGACCATGCAAAAGTACGCGTATTACTTTAATAAAGGTTGGCTATCTCGGCGAGAATAAAGAAAAGCTTCCTCTGTGTATTTAATAACTATTTTTTCTGTAATTTTTTTTAAGCGTTAAACTAAATCATACACTCAAAGCCTTTCTTTTAGTACTGGAACATATGAATGTTTTCATTAATGTAAAACATTGTGTTGTTCTTTATGCGAACATGTTTAGAATAAAACGGTCGTTGTCTTTTAAACTGCATTTTTTATTGATACATTTGTTCGAAATCAGTTTAAGTGGAACTGAAAGTAGCTGAGAAATTGGTTGGGAGACATTGTTTATTGCGGTTTGATAAGGATGCCACCGAAGTCATTGTTGAATTTCAATTTCATCAAAGACTAGTGATTATTTAATACGCCAGTATGGTGAAAAGTGATAATACTAATATAGTTTGATAAAATAGTTTGATATGCAAGTAATAGATTTTCGTTTGAAACACAATTATTACTTACAAATATTAAGGGATGTGCATTGACTGACAAACACATAAAATACATAATGTGATTTTATTTTTACATTTCCATTGTGTGTGAATCAGTAGTAAGAGAGATGTTATTAATTTTTTTTTAAATATACGAAAATAACGTTTATGCAATGAATCATAAGATGCAAAAAAATTTTTTTGAAACAACGAATACTTTCCACTTTTGAAAATTAATAATTATGTGTTAGAACACTAATTGTCAGTATATCAGCAAAGACGAGTCATCAATTCGTCTTAATTGTCACCTCTAACAAATAAGATAAAATGATCAAACAATAATATAAATACAAGAAAACATGTGTAAATATTAACCACATAAGTTAATAATAAGTTTTATGATATAAACCTCTGTTGAACAGTAATTGTATGAGTGATTTATTATGATATAAAAATGTATTAATTAGATCATTGACACTTTGTTAGAACAAAGAGAGACGAATCTCTTTAAAATTCACTATCATCTAATGTATGTTGATATGGATGGGTTGAAATTCGAAATTTCTTGGTTGATAGAATATGAGCTTGTTCAAATGAGTGAGTGCAGTTTGAATGAAATCATGAAATTTCGAAACTTAACTAATGCTGCGAATAACCACTCAAAACCTTTGATGAATATTTTGACAGACGAAATGGTTAAATTTAATACATTTATTGAATTTATTTTTATTGAGAATCATTATAGAATGAGGCATTGATGAATATATTAGAGAAAACCATATCGAACAGTTTCATCTTTAAATTATAGGATATAAAACATTTGTTAATCGAAGTAATGAAATGCTCTGATAGATTGATTAATAAACCATTTCTGTCTAACTTTCTTAAAAAGCACTTTTTGTTACATAATACCGCTTTTATAGTTAGTCTAGTAATAAAATGTTATTTTACTGAATGTAGTCTGTTTATGTATTGTTTTATGTAATTGTTTTAACTTTTCAGTTTCCTATAATCCATAAATGTCATTTTAGTATGTGTCTCTTGAAATAATAAAAATTTCTTGATTTATATGACAAATAAGGATTAGTGATTTGACCTTGCTTTTATATTGCAGATTTTTTATGCTAGAAACCTGGAGTATTTTTTCAAAAATTATTTTAGTCTATAATTATTTTTTGCAAGAAAGTAATTTATGCAACGTATTCAGTCATACAAATCCAAGTATTTCCTTTGATGATATAAAACAGTCAAATATAGTTCAAGATGAGTGAAAAATATTGACGATTCTGAATGTGTTTATAAATAAATTTTTACAGTGCAAATGCTGTACTTTACACATACTGTATTCAAGCTTTATTGCAATTTGGATTCATGCTGCCATCCCGTGTATTCGAGCTCTACTATTGGCCCTAAAAAAATCAATAACGAAGGCAAGTCAGTAATCTAAAAAGCCGGTAACCGATAATAACTGCCTCAGATAAAATACATTGAAAGTAACTGTTATTTCTTTTGTTACCCTAAAAAGCTCGCTGTAAAAATGTTTCAAGCAAATGTAAGGCATTAGCAGTAAAAGTTTCTCGCACCACGTGCACATAGTTCATGGCACTAGAAAATTAACGGCTTTTCATTTACTTTTTCATTTTTACATTTGACACTGTAAAAAGCAATTTAAAATATGACAAAAGTACATTTAAATGGCCGAAAAAGATTAATGATGAGCCCAGGCTCAAACTGCTCGAAATTTTAACGACGTACTAAGTGTTTACTTTTTGGAGGCAATCCAAAAAAGCGTCGTAAATTCATCTCGGCTGGGCTGTAGGCTCGTCCGAACGTAAAAGTGTAGCAGCATGGACGCGAAGAGGGAGGCACACGTATCGGTACCTATAAAATTTCTCTCAAGGTCCCGCGGAATAATTAAAAATTCAAATGAACCAGGTCACATTTTCTGGGCCAGCTCTGCTTTATTTTCTTGTACTACGCATAGAGTTTAACATAAAAGTGTTGGAGTAACCGAAAAAGCTACCAAGTACTCGATTTGTTGCTCGAGTACACGCCTGAAAAAAAAAAAAAAAAACGAATCGATTCCTAATAACGCTACGTATCATTAAAAAATGTAATCTCCTTTTTGATTTTTTCTGTAGAACCGAAATGTTTTCATCGTTTTGGGTTTCAAGAAAAATTGTACACATAGGCCAAGGTAGAAAAAACAGAAAAGTCCCAGGGCCTGTGTAATTAGTGATCACGGAGAAGCCGAGGATAGTAATATACTAATACCGCCATAATTACCAACTCCAAAAATTTATAAAATTAAATTTATATTACAGTCTGCTTTTAAAAATCGAAGGTCTTCAGAACATCAATTTACCTATTTTAACGTCTTTATTATTACGAATAATGAATGACCAGAAAATGACGTTTTATAACTATTTATTGGTTTGTTTATGGCGATTTTTTTGTTAAAATTATGTTAGAAATATTAAGCGAATAATTGTTTTAAAAAAACTCTGACAAGTTTCCAACCGATTTAAATACGAAAATGCCACTTCAAGTTTCTACCACTAGATGGCGAATACCTTTATTTCTATAAATCTGCAAGTGGCAAAGTAGAAATAATGGTATAAGTCAAAGTACAGTTTTGAAAGATTATTGTTTGGATAGGAAAAATTTAGCTGGTGCAGATCGATACCCAGGACAAGAGGGGTTAGACAACCCTCCAATGGGCCGTGGCTAGTTTCTCGCCGGACAACGCAAATCTCGTGGTGGATAAGCATGTGTAAAATATTGTTTTAATGTTTGCTGTTATTTAACTTTTGCCGATTTTTCATGTCATTCAATTAAATAAATTTAAAGAGAAATAGCTTTAATTTTTCTATTGATAACTCACGATCATTCGATATAAAATGATTTAAATTGTGTATTCATTACTACAGTACCTTATTGAGACCAAAGTTATTCATAGACACATCATAAATACAAAAAAAATGATGCTAAAGCGCCACAAGTATTCGAAAAAAGCCCGAACACTCAAAAAAGTTCAATGTCGGACTCGACGAGTCTCGCTCTAGTCGAGTAAAACTCAAAAAAGCTGGTGTACTCGCACACCCCCATAGTTCGAGACAAAGTATCTTGCCACTTACTAGCCCGCCCACGCGCCTCGCTCGATCGTCACCGCGTGTGTCATGCACAGGGATAGAGCTCTATACAATTTCGCGCGGGCTCGGTTTACACGTGGGCCGCGTACTTCTATGAACTGCAGAAGCTAATTATAATATATCATGATAAAGGGAAGTTTCCGTTATTGCTTGTGAGCGGAGCTAGGATAGCTACAACTAGGATGTATCTATATGCATACGGACGAAGCTGCAGCAGTAGCAGCAGCAGCAGCACCACCACCACCATCACTGACTAAGCAATCGTGGGTGAGCGTCGTCTACTACTACTCCGTTGCAGCGCGAAGCCAAACTTAATCAACTAATCCTTTGGCCTTATGACTTCGGCGCGCCGCGGCGCGCAGTCGGTTGTACATTCATCCGGGGCGGCAACAGGCGCACACAGAACAATGTTGCTGTCACGTCGTACTCCTATACATATATATGCATAACCGGAGTAACAACGCACACAAAATCAACGACGTTGTGGTGGTTGGCGTCTACGTGTGCGTATACGTATAGCTGCGTTGCAAGGAGCCGTATATACGTACATACCCTCCTGCGCGAACACGCTTGTTATACTTCTTCTCTACGTGTATTATGTACTGTACGCGTGTGTACGTATCCACGCAGGAGGGTATATATATATACCGTGTGTAGCGGTACAGGGTGTATATAAACTTTATACAGCCCTTGTTGTTGTTGTTGTTCGGCCTGTAACGGTAGCGAGCCGCCTCCACGCATGGCTGGCACGATATCTGCCAGCGCTCGTATACACACAGTTTCGGGGGCAGCTATGATATATGTCCGTCCTGAACGGGAAATAATTTTTTACAGGCCTTGCGATTTTGGACCCCCGCCGTTCTCTCGTTAATAAAATCGAGATAATAGCCACTTTCTTGTATACGAACGCAAACTGGAGCTCCGAGCTTGCAAAAAGCTCGGAGCTCCCTGCAAAAAGCTTGTACGTATATTACATGTAAATACGTCAATGGAAAGTTTGCCAGTGCCAATAAGAGCCCGAGAGAGAGGGAGAATAGACGTACCTAACATTTTGAAGCCGTTAAGATATTTAACTTTCAAAGTTTCTCTCTCTCTCTATTCGCGGCGTGTAACAAAGTTAGGCAATAGCACAACACGCGGCCTGAGCTTGCAGCCTGTGCAGTTATATAGACTGACCGCGCTCGCGTCGCCCGTCGCACTGCGGACTCTCTCTCTCTCTCTCTCTCTCTCTCTGTCTCTCCTGTAGTAGTAGTAGCAGCAGCAGCAGCGAAATGGGCAACGTTTGCTTTGTTAATTTTCCTTGCCAGAGATTCGTGTGTTTGTCCTTGGAAAATCACTCTCCGGAGTCGGCTATCTCGTTTTTGCATGAACACTACTACTGTCCGTTATACATACATTATGACCCTCGCCATCTGCAGCCGCTACACGCTACGCGAATTCGCATATATATTTTACGCGCTTGCAACAACTGTACGAGGAAAAAAAAGGAGAAGCTCTTTTCTTTTCAACTTTCGATCGTCGATATTCCATCGAGATTGGCGTCCGTACGTACGTAAGGTATGCATGATATCCGAAAATAGCTGTCCAGCTATCGAGAAATCACTGCAGACGCGCGTGCGTTAGCGATAGATGAAATGTTCGCGTTAAGCTTTGCACATGTTCTGTACAACGTTCTCTCTTGCCTTGGCAATCGACAGCCCTTTTTCCCGTAGCAATACGTAAAAATACCGCAGGGCGAAAAAAATTTCTTCTTTTTTCTCGATTCTCTTTTGAAAATGTAAAAATGAAACGTTCGATTTCTATATCGCGAAAAAACGTTTAATCATCTTCATGTGTTTAATGTTGAAATCTTTCAACTTGCTTCACGTAACGCACAAGTAAGCGAGAGAGAGAGAGAGAGAGAGAGAGAGAGAGAGGTTAGCACTTAAATCGTTAGAGAGCGTCGGCGTTAGGCAAGTGTCTTGGATAAGATGCCTTAGAGCTACCTCTCTCGGCAAAAGAGAGAGAGAGAGAGGGAGAGTACAGTTGTGAGCTGCTGCTGCAGCAAGCTTTCGCTCATATATATATGAAGGTAGACGCTTTGCCTGCGCGCCTGCCTAGTGTCTTATGAAAGCTCGCAAGCACCGGAGCTTCATGCATAACGTATAAGTAAACAGTGGGCTTCAGGACTCGCACTTTGTTGCACTTGTTCGTCGGAGGCCAAGTATTATAGTCGTTTCTGTGTGTGTGTGTGTGTGCAGTATGCTCGCACGCTCGCTTATAAATATACCCGAGCAGTCATGAATTTCCAATTTAATCTTTAAAATATAAACAAGGGCTTTATGCGCTCGATTACTTTTTTCCCCCCTCGTCGTTGCTGTTGCAGTTGCAAAAGTATCAAGATAAAAATTGATTCGCATGCAGATATACCGACGAGGCCAATTTTCGATCCGAACGATATGTAACGATCCGAGTCTGTATATTATATTCTCTTTGCGATCGCCAAACGTTTATAAACGAGTTTATAATACGTATACATGTCGTGTACATGTATATCGTCGTCGAAGCGACCGCGAAAGGAGAAAATGTCCTTTGCCACGCGGGCATCTGTGTATTATATACGTATAACAAATAAGATAAAAGCAGCGATTAAAATCATAGACGTTATATACGTATAGACGCGTAATATATCGCCGCTATACAGCTTGGGCAACTTGATCGGCTTCCAAAACCCTTATGCCTTATATTGTCACGATGCGGCGGCGGCGGCGGCAAGCGATAGATATTTGCAGCCTTTATAGACATAACATACTGACACACACGTGTACTTACGTACGTATACGAGGAAGCCCCACGAATAGAAGGAAGAGGCGCGATCGCGACATCAAGTGCTACTGCTGCGCCGGCCGATATCGTACGATAAAGCGCGGGCGAGCGCCTATATGT